CAGCTCACAGCAACCTCCAACACCTGGGCTCAAGCAGTTCTCCTGCCTCTGCCTCCCAAATAGCTGGGACTGCAGGCACCCAACACAATACCCAGCTATTTTTTGGTTGCAGCCGTCATTGTCATTTGGCAGGCTGGGCTGGATTTGAACCCCCCAGCTCAGGTATATGTGGCTGGAGCCTTAGCTGCTGGAGCCACAGGCGCTGAGCCAGATTGGACGATTTTTTAATAATAGGATCTGGTTTACTCTGAAGACACTCCCCTCTGGTTGCCATTGGGACAGCTCATTGTAGGAGAACAAAAGTGGTGTTGGGGTGATAGTGAGCAGCCCTGAAACTGTCCAGGCATAAGAAGGGCATGTCCAGGGAGAAGAAATATGTGTGTACCAGCTGGGAACTAGGTTGGGGTTGCTCTGCCTCCTTCTCTTTTCCACTCAGGGATGAGGACAGGCCATGAGACCCAAGGAGCAGCCTGGGGTGCAAAGTCCACAGCCAGGCCCTGTGACAGGCCCAGGAAATGCAGTCCCGCTGGGTCTGGGCCTAAGTAGCCCCATAGGTTATTGTCAGGGCAGCTGGTAGGCAGATGGGCACCTGGCCAACAGCAGGTGCCCTCCAGCTCAGTCATTATTGAGGGGCTTTCACATCCCTGGGGGAGAGGGTTGGACTGGGTACCCCAGCCTGCCTGGGTCTACCCTGACTCAGTTAGGAGTGGGCAGCTGAGCTGCAGATGGGCACTGGTTCCAGCCCTTTCCCAGAAGAGGGCACAGGAAAAACACAGTACAACTGGGTCAGTAAGGGCCGGGAGGAAAGTGTTCCAGCCCTGGGGAGCAGGGTGGGCTTGGCACAACAGACACCATCCCACACATGCCAGCACTCACTCCTCTCACCAACATTTGGGCAACTCCACAAGGCTTCCAGAAGAGAGCACCCATGGACACTAGGACATCAGATTAGTGGAAGCCATGGGTGCAACACATAAAGATGGGCAGACCCAACTTTAATCCTGCCCCACCACTCAGCCAAGCAACCTGGGGCCTTAGTTTCTTCATCCTCAATGCAAGGACAACCCTGCCTGGGCTCCCACGGTCCAGAAGAGAGCTTGAGGGTGGCCTCTGAGTCACTAGGGCTAAGCTGTGTGTTGATGGGCACGCCCCAAGCCTCTTTGAGCCTCCCATGCCCACCCGAGACGTGTGAACAAGCACACTGCCCACCTCCAAGGATGTTTAAGGGACGGATTTTGGATGACACCTGGCACACCATTAGTGCTCAGGAGAATTAGCAGGTATGACTACCACTTCCCTGGCAGTGGCATTTCCACCCTCCAACCTCAAGGTCACATGGAATACAGATCCAAACTTTATTTCTTAAATATTTACCCAGCATGTGAATGCAGCCTTCTCTGGCAAGGCAAACACACATAAATTAAAGTTTCTGAGCTCAGTCCCAGCCGAAGTCCTGGCCAGTTATCTGATAGAACTTGCGGTTGAAGGGCCGGTAGAAATCCTGCAGGCGCTGGACCAAGGCCCACGGCACACGGGGATGAGGCCGACCCTTGGATTTGCCCAAGCAGCGGGGCCGGCTGCTGCCCTGAGCCTTCTTGAGGCAAGGGAAGCCCTTGGTGGCATTGAAGTAGAAGTGCTTATCTGTGACTACTCGCTTGAGGCCCAGAAAGTCCTGTACTCGGCCAACCTCCCCAGCAGGGTCACTGACCAGGCGCTCGCCACTGACAAACAGGAAGTGAGACAGGGGGAAGTAGCGCAGCCAGTTGTCCAGGTGCTGGGCATACAAGCCAATGCGCACAGCACTCCAAGCAGTGTCCACAGGGCCCAGGCCATGGCGGAAGGCCAGTGCTCGGAAGCTGGGCAGGCCTGGGGTCTTGGAGAGCATCTGGGCATAGTCAGAGATGGCACGAGTCACGGGGTTGCGCACCACCACAATCAACTTCGTGTCCGGGGACATGCCATGGATGCGGCAGGGGGCCTCTTGAGTCACAAAGTAACTTGGGGTCTTCTCCATAGTGATCTGCCCATCCAGAGTGCGTGGCATCAGGCTCCTGCAAGATAGAAGGAACCTCAGCCTGAGCAGACACAGGTGGGCAAGATAGAATTAAGGAGCCGCAGCCTGACCGGACACAGGTGGGCATGGGTGGCTCAGAGAGGCTTAGGGCATGCCCATCAACACATAGCCCCTCCCACACTAGCCTGACCCCCCAGGACCCTTCCACCAGCAAGATCCAGGCCTCCAAGGTGAACAAGCCTCCCTCTCTGCCCAACCCAGCTCATTAATGTGCTTGCATGGGAGCCTGGGCCATAGGCAGTGAGGGCACCCAGTCCTGCTGGGCTGCTTGTTGCTGCTACAGCGACAGGCTGAGGTCACTAGATGCTCTTCTCTGCCATTGACCATCCTGGCTACCATCCCTGCACAAGCTCTGTCCTCCCTCATCCCATGGGCCAGCTCCCTCAGATCCTGGCAATGGCCACCCACCAAAGCCATGCCTCCTGAGGCTAGACTCCGCACCCTAACCCTGACACTGCTCTCTCACCCCAGACTGAGTAGCCCTGAGGCTGGTCTGCCTGGAACTGGCCACCCCGCAGGCATCTGCACTATAATCACTTGAGATCACCCTCTCAGTGGTTTAAAGCATCTCCAAATCAGGCCATCAATTATTAACAACTGTCCAGACAAAGTAGTCATCTTTCTCTCACTCCCTCCCCTGCTTTAATCATACCCCTGCTAATCCTCATCATCCTAGGTCCAGACTCAGAAAGCCAAAAAGCCACCAGCAGAGCCCTGCATGTTTGAGAAAAGTTAGTGATGTGACTATGCCCAGCTGGAGGACCTTTCCCGAGCCCCTGGGCCACTGGGCACCAGGCTAACAATGAGCATTTCTGAGAGGCCTCTTATCCTCACACAGGGGAGGAGGGCACTGACCCAATCCCAAGGTTCAGGGGGAGGTGGCTGCCCATAGCCCCTATACTGCCCCAAACCTGGCAAAGCCCATCCCTGAGTGCCTGCCTGGGCAGGCCCAGGCACCCCAAGCGGTGTCCCAAGGTGGCACCTGCCAGTAGTACAGGATAAGATTGGGCAGGGCAGGGCAGGGTGGGTCAGCTGAGCAAACAACTCTGGGGAGGGCTGGGAACTAGGTCAATAGAGGAAGAGGTTGTGGGGACCTACACTAGGGAGGGGATGTCTCTGTCTGGACCTGCCTCCAGTGCTGTGAGGGGGCTTCCCCCACCCCAACTGATAGACACAGGACTGGCCCCAGTGGGAAAGTAACCTAAGTGAAAGTAACCTAAGTGATCCCCAGACTCTGCTCGTGGAAGGCAGGGCCTAAGCCTCCTCTTCCTGCTCAAATCCCTGAGGAAACTCAGACCAGGTACAGGTACACAGACCTACGCACCAGGTGCTTGGCTTGGAGGGAGTGGTGGTGGGATGGGAGGATGTGTGGGCGGCAGGCTGCCAGGCTGCCCTAACAGCACCTATGAGCATGGCAGATTTGGGTGAGCCTCCCAACCCTCAAAACAAGGCCTTGGGCAGAGCTGGTCCACAGATATCCAGGAGATAATCTTCCTTCATTTTGGTGACAGTGAGGTAGACGTGTCCTCTACCCCACCTGCTGCCCCATTTTGTAAGCAGGCACATTGAGGCTCAGAGAGGTAGCAGGAAGTGCTGAGGGGAGATGCTGGCCTCAGACCTTGGCTGCTACAGTGGCTACAGGGGCTGCAGTAACCAGCCTCCTCCTGGCCCACCTGGAAGGGAGTGTCTGCTCAGCTTTGCTTCCAGAGCCTTGCACCCCACACCCTGACTCCCATATCTGGGACCCCACATGGGAACAGCACCAGCCTCCTCAGGCATCAGTTCAAAGGCCTTGGGTGGTGTCAGCAGGCCCAGGGCTACAGCCTGCCGGCCACACTGGCCTCCTTTCCCCTAGGGAGAAGTCATGACAAGGGGATTCCCCCACCCTCACTTTGCCACAGATCCACAAAGAAAACCCAGCACTGATGCCTCACCACCTTCTCTTCTGCCCTTCCCAGGAAAGGACACCAGCCCTGGGCCCTCCTACCCTAGCTCTGGCACTTGCTGGCTCCAGGGAACCATGAGACTCAGGAACTCCAGCTCTCCCTTTTCCCAAACTGGACACTTCAGATTCTGAAGAACCTGCTCTCTACTTCCTCCAAATGGCTACTTATCCCCACCATGCTTCCTCTCCAAGGAAGTCAGAATTCCAGAGAAGATGATTACAGATCCTCTACAGTAGGAGAAGGTGGGAACATGGAGGGGGACAAGGACTTTCTAGGCACAAACCAGATCTGAGATGGGAGACCTTAGAGATCAATAACTTACCTTCTCCAGGCCTCACAAGCCTATCCCAGCCCGTCATGGAGGGTGGGTATTGGGCTCTGGGGGGTGGGAGAGCTGGGACAGAGTGGGAGAGCAGACCCCCACAGGCAAACATCTGAACTGCTTCCAGGGCTCAGTGCCCGTAGCACAGTGCCAGCCGAATACACCAGAGCTGGCAGGTTCGAACCCAGCCCGGGCCTGCTAAACAACTGCAACAAAAAAATAGCTGGGTGTTGTGGCAAACACCTATAGTCCCAGCTACTTGGGAGGCTGAGGCAAAAAAATCCCTTAAGCCCAAGAGTTTGAGGTTGCTGTAAGCTGTGATGCCCCAGCACTCTACTGAGGGTGACATAATGAGACTCTGTCTCAAAAAATAATAATAAAATAAACTGCTCCCAGGACCCCTTCCCTCGCACAGAGCCCACCTCATCTGGTCTACATTTCCCATTTCCATCCAGCCCAGGGCCAACTCTCTGCCCTCACCTCTCTGATCAGGCAGGCCTGGGACCCAGCAGAAAGTTATCATTCCTATCTGATGGCAGAAAGTGCCGGGAGGACTATAAGTTCTGCCACAGGAGCCTCCCTCCCCAGGATTAAGAGGGGATAAGTCCCACAGAAGCCCCCTGTCCCCTACATATTCAGATCCCACTCCCCAGCCCCTGGTCTTACAGCCCTCGGAACTAAGTGGCTTCCCCACACACACCCCTTCACCTCCTCTTGCTTTTCCAAAGTATTTTGACTAAAGTATAGCCCCCACCTGTCCCACGGAGGCACCCACTCCCAGGTTGAAGCCTTGGGGTGTCTATGTGATCCCAGCACCAGACAAACAGTGAAGGTACTCAGTGAGTGAGTAAATGGATACACAAATTCTGAGTTTGGGAGTACTTAGTAGCAACTGACAGCCCTAGATTAATGGGGTGGAGGCCAAGAGAGCAGACCCCTCCCAATCCTCTGCACCCACCCTTCCCCCCCCCCAGAGATGGGGCCTAAAAATGAGGAAGAAGGAGTCTCTCTCAGAATGACAGTCTCCTGAACACCACCTACTCCCAGGCTGGGCATCAGTATTCCCAAGAGCCCTTCTCAGGGCTGAGAATCTGACTCCCAGTCTGGTCCTGGCCAAAGCTGCCTCTCAGGAGACCCCTATCCTGCCCAGACCTCCTTCCCCAGTTCCTGAGCCCTCAGAATCCTTTGTTCTTTGAAAACCTTCTAGGGATAAACCCAGCCGAGCTCCCTGTGCTCAGCCCAGCTCCTCCAACTCCTTCTCATAAAAACTCTCATGGGGTCAGTGGCAGCTCTGAAGTTTGCCCTCCAGTTAGCTGTGTGTCCTCAACCCTCACCCCTCTGCCCTTCTCCACCGCTCCTCCTCCCCACCCTCAGAGCAGCCAGAATGAGGGTTGCATAAACAAGAAACAACAAGCCCTGCCACAGTCAGAGAAGGGGACCAGTGGTCTCTTCCTGGAGCCAGAGCCAAGGATGCCAGCATTCAGGCAAGTGGGGATAGACTTGCCTTCCCTACACCACCACCTGGCTTCCCTGGCTTCCTGACAGCATTAACCCCACAAAGCTCAGGAGCCAGGCCCCCTGTTCTCACTGATGCCCCACTCTGCCTGCCCTTGAAACCTGTGAGTAGTTTTAATGCAAAAAGCAAAGTTAACAAATGGGGATGGGGAAAGAGAAGCAGGGAACAGAGAGACTGGTACACCTAGAGGTCAAGAGTCTGGGTGCTGCCACTATCCCCCCTGTCACTAATTCATCAGGTGACCCTGGGCAGAGGCTCGGCCCAAGCTTGGGAATGACCAGCCACCAGGATGAGCTGTTTTAGCTGGGGCTAGGTGTTCCCTACATTCCACTCCTGGACCCCAAGTCCTCCTGCGCTGGGGGCAGGGCAGCTCCAGAGCCCCATGCATGAGTCTGGAATCTGAATGTTCACCCTCCTGCACTCACATAAAGGCAGTATCGTTTGTAAAGCCCAGTCTCTCTCCAAACTCCCAGGACCACCAAGAAGGGTTCCCGGTGCCCAGGTCCAGGAGTCCTGAGCAGGCTGCAGGGAACCTGGAGCCTCCTTCCTAGGGTAACTAGCCAGGGTCGGTTGGTCAGACATACATGCCTAGAGTGACCCAGCAGGGGAGGGCGCCTGATTAAGTGGTATTTCTAACGCTCCCAAATAATCCCACTGGCTTGAAACTACTTCCAGCTGGGATCACACTCCCCACCCCAATCTTTCTCGGTCCCTCAGCAGACCTGAACCAGGACTTTCTCCATAGTTCTCAAAGTTTCTGGGGCCCCCAGCCTGGTCCTTCTCCTTGAAGACAAGTCTGGGTCTCCCTCAATTCCGGAAGACTTCGCCTCCTCAACCAGACCCTGGCGCGCATGATGTCCTCCCTCCGAAGGCACCCGCCGGGGCGTACACCGAAGCCGACCAGATGGGCCGGGGTGCTTACCGGTACCAAGCGAGGCCGCGCTCGTAGCACCGGTCGAAGAAGTGGGGCTCGGAGCCGAGTGCACGGATGTCGGGGTGCAGCCGCAGGAACTCGAGCAACGCGCGCGTGCCGCCCTTCTTCACGCCCACGATGAGCGCCTGCGGGAAGCGCCGGTGGCCGGAGCCGCTGGCCACTGGCAGATCCGGCGCTCCGGGGCGGCGGCCAGAGCGGGACTGTTCGGTGGGCGCGGCGGATGGCGCGGGGGCGCGAGCAGCCGGAGGGCAGCGGCCGGGGAGGGCACAGAGGCAATAGGCGCCGAGAGCCAGAACCACTAGCAGCAGCGGCGCGCGAGGCCCCCGCAACGTGGCCCCCTGCCCAGTCCCCGCGCTCTGGCCGCCCCCGGCCCCGCCACCTAAGGCACCGCTACCTGCCATGGGGTCTCGCTGCACCCAGGCCCGGGAGCCAGGGCCACAGGCTGGGGCGCATTCCGGCCAGCGCCGCGCTCAGTCCGCGGGCGCCGGACTTCTGCTCTGCACCCGGGTGTCCTGCTGCCCTGGAGCAGGCTCTGGGCGGGGCCGGGGGTGGGGCCTAGACGTCCCGCCCCCTCCCGGACACTGCCCCACCCGGGACACGCGGGCCCCAGCCCACACCTGGGCGAGACTCGGAGCCGCCGAGAATACCTGGATTCTCCTGCGCCGAGACACCGGGCGCGGGAGGACGCATGAGAGGCGTTGAATTGGGACACAGGGCAGTGACAGGGCGGCGCACAAGCCCCCCCACCCCCCACCCCACCCCCGGGACCTGCTCTTAGAAGGCCTATCACGGCCGGCAGGTGCACGGGCGAAATCCCGGCCTCCAGGAATGGGAGCCTCTTTGCCAGGCCCAGTGGACCAAAGAAGCGCATTTACTCGGGTGCCCGGCCTGCGAAGGGAAAATGAGGCCAGGCCACCACTCTAGTGCATAGAGGGAGTGTGCGTCAGGGGATGAGGTGTGCCTTGCACTCCCAGTTGACTGTTGGCCCAGCAATTCCTCTGGGTCACAGCCCTACCTGCTGGAGAGAACTAGACAAGTGTAGTTACCGTTTTGGAGTCGGGCAAACAGGCTCAGAGAAGACAAGCGCAGTTGGGAGCTGAGTCCCTTGGCCCTAACATGTCACTTCTTCTGCCCAGCCTAGTCCACCTGGCCATCCTGGATGTGGGAAACTAAGTGGCCCCCACTATGTGTGAGGGACTGAAGGGAATCTGTGCTTGAGGGAGGAGGGGTGCTCAGGTCCTGCCCCAGGAGCTCCCTCAGAGGGGAATAAGAGTCAGGGGCCTCTCACAGCTGTGGGACCTGCAGAGGACACTTTGCAGGAGCTTCATCCCCTCACGGTTCAAAAAACCCCAGCAAAGCCTGCAGGGAAGGAGGGCAGAGAGAAGAACCTGAGCTGCCCATGAAAAGGGTGAGCAACTTGCCCAGTTCCGCTCCCTGCTGGCCCCTGTGTGACCTATGGACAGTAGATCTCCCTCTCTGGACCACATGGTAAAAGACTAAGCCACAAAGACAAAAGGTAAGGGCAGTCCCTATGCCCTGTGAAGGTCATTCACCTCCTGCTGTCTGTCTGGTTGAGCCTTCTCTGCCAAGAACAGGCATTTTAGCGAGTTCCTTCTGCCCAGCTGGACATCCCAGGGGCCCAGCAGTTTTGAAGGTCCTACACCGCTGCACACAGCTGGACTCCTGTCTAGGTCTGTCTGTCCATCCACCTTCGCCCAGCCGTCAGACCTGAAGATAACCAGCATGTGGAGAGTGAGACCTGATATGGTGGAGGAAGAATTTGGAAGGGGAGATGGGCCCAGTTAACACCATTCCTGAGGGAGATGACAAAGAGGGCCAGAGCAGGAAGGGACAGAGAAGGGAAGTTTAGGGAGGCAATCCTAGGTGGGAGCAAGGTCCAGCCTGTCCTCACAGTTTTTTGACCAGCATCCCAGCTCTGTTTGCCCCCTTCACAGGCTTATATGTGGTTTAGACCCCCATCTACTTCCACCTACCCATAAGCTCTGCCAGAGCAGGGACGGAGTCAGTCTTGATCCATTCTATGGATCACACCTAACAGTGGTGAGTGCTCATAAATGTTTGCTAGGTGACCATGTCAGTGTGTGTATATGCATACATGTATGTGAGTGCCTATACTGTGTCCATTACCTACACCACTCTCTGCCTCTTTCCCTGTCTTTCCATGCCCAGGGTGGGCACCCCCAGCCTTGGCCCCCACCAGCAGCATGGGTGGCATATAAGCATCTGTCCAACTCCGGAAAATGACTAATAACACAGTGACTTTCCTCCCTCCTTGGGGAACAGAGGCAGATTTCACACATTCAGCAGCTCCAGGAACTCCCTCCCTTAAAACCACACCTTCCAGCCCCTGACCCATTCCTGCAGCCTGCTGGATTCCGGAGCATAGAGGGAAAGGGGCTGTGGCTGGAGGGCAGGCCCAGCTGTCCTTGATTTGCATGGGTTTTTCCCACTTCCAAATGCATAATTTGCCCAGGTACATAGAGGATGTGGTTCTCTCTCAAGGAAGAGCCCCTAAGAAAGGCCTATACACAATCCTATCCACCCCCAGGATGTACCGTTCTCAGTGCACCATGGTAGGGATGAGGCAGGGCTACACTCATCACTAAGGACAGTGGCAATACTAATAGCAAGGTTCTAGGGCCTTCAAGGCTGATTCAAGCCCAGTTTGACCCCTCCTAGCAGGGGAACTGGGCAGCCCTCCACCTTCATTCTATCTATTTTATTTTATTTAGACAGAGTCTCACTTTGTCACCCTTGGTAGAGTGCTGTGGCATCATAGCTCCAAGCAACCTCAAACTCTTGGGCTCAAGCGATCCTTTTGCCTCAGTTTTTAATTTTTAGTAGAGACAAGGTCTCACTCTTGCTCAGGCTGGTCTCAAACTTATGAACTCAAGCAGTCCACCCGCCTCGGCCTCCTAGAGTGCGAGGATTACAGGTGTCAGCCACCGCACCTGGCCTATTTTTTTTTTTTTGAGACAGTCTCACTCTGTCACCAGGGTAGAGGATAGAGTGCCATGGTGTCACAGTTCACAGCAACCTCAAACTCTTGGGGCTCAAGTGGTCCTCTTGCCTCAGCCTCCCAAGTAGCTGGAACTAAAGGCATCTGCCACCATGCCTGACTAATTGTTCTATATATATTTTTAGTAGAGATGGGTTCCCTTTCTTAGCCTGGTCTTGAACTTCTGAACTCAAGCAACCACCTGCCTGAGCAGGTTAAGAAAAGGTGACACTAGCTCCCACCTCTGAGTCCCCATTCTAAGTCCTCAGGGATTTTTTTTTTTTTTTTTTTACAGATTTTGGCTGGGGCTGGGTTTGAACCCGCCACCTCCGGTATATGGGGCCAGCGCCCTACTCCTTTGAGCCACAGGCACCGCCCAGGAATGTTCTTTATGATAAGGAAGTAAAGGGCATGTGACGGTGACTGCAGCACAATAAGGGGTGCCAGGAAGCTGCTCCCACTTTGGGGGATCTGAGTACCTCATAAGTCCATCTTCCTCAGGGAAAAGCCTGGAGGGGAAAGGTTTCCCTGGCCTCACAGTGGGAGCTGGCTTAGCTTGCCAGATCTTGGGAAATCTTGTTCTCAGTGACCTGGAGACACTGTAACAGAGAAAGGTCATGGGGCTGCCCAGGGTTTGCCAGGCAGATCAGATTCCCAGTGTCAGGAGGGACACATGAAAAATTTCCTTAGACAAGAGTAGAGAGGATCAAGGACTACAGGCAGCCTGTCTAAGGTTTTAGGGTTTGCCTGAAGGAACTAGAGTCCCCTCCTGCAGAGGGACAGCCTGCAGCCTCCTCCTTTCCCTTGAGTGTTCCTGGAGGAATTAACACAGAGAGCCCTTTGCTACTGGTCCCTGCTTCTCCAGGGCTTGGAGCCAGGTCTCCAGGATGCCTAGCTGGGCCCTGCCAATGACTTTTCCCATCAGAGCCCCCAACTTACTTTGTAACAATGGAGCAATTCTTCCCCCAGCTGGTATCCCTGCTCTCCCAGAGGAAAGATCTGGTAACAGTTGGCTTTTATCCCCAAGGAGTGTCTAAAGGAGGACTTGAGGAGAGTCCCACAGAAACTGGACTCCCCCATCCCCACCTTCTCCACCTTCTTAGCCTCAAGCTACGCCTAGGCACGGAAGCCTTTCAGGACCAAAAGGAGGAAGGGACATCGTCCAAATGGCCATATGTCAGGCCACTGGGGCTCTGTGGCCATGTCTGTCCAGCCATGCCCTGTTGGTGATCCCCATGGACTGGAAGGTGACAGTGAATATCTGGATTCAGGCTTAGAAGGCTCCTGTCCCTGACACCATGTGGTGTACATATCCCAAGTGTGCATGTTGGGCACAGGCGGAAGGGGACCCACGCCCCAGTCACCTTCCCCCACAAGTGTCAAAAGCCTAAGTGAATCTCCCCACATGGCAACATCAGAGCCAGTAAGACTACTTTGCAGAACAAGTCCAGCCTGACCAAGGGACAGAACCCCCAGGGAAGTCCCCAACCCATCTGTGCTTACGTCCAAGGCAAGCACCCCATCCCACAGCTGCCAGACAGGCACATGACCAGTCTTGTTGGGCTCAGTGCTCAGGAAGACCCCAGGCCTGGGGGCAGATGTCTCCTCCAACCCCAAAAGACCCTTCCTAAGCTTTAGGAACTTCAGGCTCGACTCCCATACCTTTCTCAGAGAACAATGACTCCATCCCTCATGCCCTACACTGATTATTGCTGTCTTCTCTCTGGTTCCAGTTGCCCTACCCTCCACCCTACCAGCCCTGGACCTATGCCATGGGCTCCTGGCCCCTGAGTCTTAAGGCCCAGCAAAGAACCATACTCCCAGACTAAGAGACCAAAAAGCCACTAGAGTCCAGGTAGAACAGCGAGCCAGGGCCCACACGCTGATTACATAGCCACAAGCAGACCCCAAATGCCCTGGCCTCCAGCCCAGCTAGCTCTGGCCACCCTCTCCTCCCAGTCTCTGGCAACGCAGCTGCCAAGCCTGTGAAGCCAATAGTGTAGCCTTTTTTTTTTTTTTTATTTGAAGACAGAGTCTTACTATGTTGCCCTCGGTAGAGTGCTGTAGTATCACAGCTCACAGCAACCTCCAACTCTTGGGCTTAAGTGATTCTCTTGCCTCAGCCTCCCAAGTAGGTGGGACTACAGGCACCCGCCACACACCCAGCTATTTTTTATTGCAGTTGTCATTGTTGTTTTAGCTAGTCTGGGCTGGATTTGAACCCGCCAGCCTCAGTGTATGTGGCCGGCGCCCTACCCACGGAGCTATGGGCCCTACCCAGTAGCTTTTAAACATACTAGTTGGAGATGAAATGTGGCAAGACAGGAAACCTGGGGCTGAAACCAACAATCTCCATGGTTTTACAAGGAGGTAGGCACTGGAGGGAGGAGGCTTATCAACAGGTTACCTTGGCTTCTCCCCAGCACCGCCCCTCTTATCTGTCCCTGGAATATTACAAACCCTCTTTCTGGTGCTGCTTGCCCCCAAGTTCAGTTAAACATAGCCCCAGTGCCCAGGACCAGGATAGGAGATAGGTAATCCTGGCGTCCCTGTGTTCCTCAGACCACAGACATACTCATGCAGAGGTGGAGTACACATCTGGCACCCATCCTAAGATTGTAGCATTCCTCCACCTGCTGCTACTGTACTGTGATCTCATGAGGCCCCAGTTTGGGAAAGATGAAACTCTTCACTGCAGTTGATGGCCTTGAGGACCTCTTTGACCTGCAAGAGGAGGGTTTGAGGCTTAACCCACCAGAGCATATAGGAGGAGCCCAGGGGCCCTCGTTGGGGGGTCAGAGCCACCAGGTAAGGCTTCTTAACACGTGAGAAAGAAGGGACAAGGAACTCCAGCAACACAGGGATATGTTTCTAAAAGAGACTGGTTTGCCTAGAGGCACAGGTGGGAGAGTGTAGGTGCTGGTGTGCAGGGAATAAAAACAACGTTATGATAAGGAACACTGATCTCTTTTCTGGAGTAGGAAATCAAGCTGTAGGTGGAGTCAGCTCCAGACAGAGTGTGCAGGGACTATGGGAGTCCCTGAGGGGACTTACCTGTCTGATTATTATTTTTTTTTTTTGAGATGGAGTCTCACTTCATTGCCCTTGGTAGAGTGCCGTGGCGTCACAGCTCACAGCAGCCTCCAGCTCCTGGGCTTAGGGGATTCTCTTGCCTCAGCCTCCCAAGTAGCTGGGACTATAGGCACTCACCACAACACCTGGCTATTTTGTTGTTGTTGCAGTTTGGCTGGGGCCGAACTCGAACCCGCCACCCTCGGCATATGAGGCCGGCACCCTACTCACTGAGCCACAGGCACCACCCACCTGTCTGATTATTATTTTGCAAAGATGACTGGTAGGGGAAGCCAGCCAGGAGCTGTCTCAGTTGTGGAAAGAGATATGGGCGGAGGAAGGAGGCTTGGGAGGTGGAACCCCAGAACCTGGAGTCTGGGGACGCCCAGGCTAACTCGGAGTCATGGAAGGACAGCAAGCAGGGAAGGCCAGGGGCATAAGCGCAGGACGCTTCCATCCCGCTGCCCTGGAGAAGGGGATAGGGTTTGGCTGGGTCTGGGCGTTTAGCCCCCGCCCCGCCCCCGTCACCCCTGCAGCAGCCACCACCTGTTCCCGCCCCTGTCCTCGCCCCGCAAATGTCTTGTTTCGGCTGGCTCAAGAAGCCCTCGAGTGCATCGGTCACTTCGTGAAGCCCAACAAACGGGTCCTCCCATCAGCAGCTGCTGCACCCTGGAATGCCCCGAGGGCTCAGTCTGTGATCATGGCACTGGACCGTTAGGCGCGGGACTGCTGGGCTGGGTGGCCTCAGAGAACTGCAACGCCGCCTCGCGCCTGCGCGCTCCGCCCGCCGTGGAGCCCGGGCAGCGCAGGGCGAGTGCGCCCCCTGCCGGTCAATCTGCGCGCCCCCTGCACAGCCCTTCAGCCAGTTCCCAGGAGATGACGACCTTGGCGGCTGGCGGCTTGGAAGCCGGTCATGATGCTGGGCCTGCTACAAATGGGCGTGAGAGGCCCGGTGGCCCCGCCTGGCTCTTCAGTGACCTTCGCCAACTCTTCTGGACGCCCCCTCCCACCTGCCCGCTCCGCACATGGCAGGGAGGTTCCTGGCACAAGCCATACACACACCAGGTTCATGATTGTCCCCACCTCTTCTTACTCAGGGGAAAGAAAAGCCATGGGTAAGCAGAAGTCCAAAGCATTGTCAGTTCCCTCACTCGTTCTGCAAAGGTTTATTGCCTTGGGTCCCTGCTGGGTCTCACAGTGTCCCAGATTCGGATTCGGATTTCTTTTTCTTTCTCTTTTTTTTTTTTGAAACAGAGTCTCACTTTCTTGCAAATGGTAGAGTACTGTACCATCATAGCTCACAGCAACCTCAAACTCTTGGGCTCAAGCGATCCTCTTGCCTCACTCTTAGTCTCACTCTTATTAAGGCTGGTCTGGAACTTATGAGTTCAAGTGATTCACCCGCCTTGGCCTCCCAGAGTGCTGGGATTACAGGCATGAACCACCTTGCCTGGCCCTCCAGACTCAGATTTCTCATTTCTCCCACCTGCCCCTCACCCAGGGCAAAATGCCCTGCCCTGCACTGGCAGGCCAGCTGCTCCTAAATGGACCTTTGGCTAGTAAGCATGTCCCTTGCAGGTTCTACCTGGCAAGGAGTGTGGTATGGCAGGGAAGGGAAGGGCTGCACTCTCAGAGCCTTTGGTTTCTCAAGGGAACTGGGGTAGCAGGCCAGAGGTCACACAGACCCAGCAGGAGAGGTAGGGTGATTTATGACTGAGATACTCTGGCACTGGAAACACCATCCCTCTCCTCCTGCCTGCCCCTGGCAGACTGAATCTGCCCAGTCACCCATCTCTGGGCTCCCAATGTGGGGATACTCCAAGTCCTGGGGTTCCCCTAATCTTCCCACCCCTCCAAGGACTCTGCTTGGTAGGGCCTAATGGATCTCCCCAGCCCAACTGCCCCCTACTCAACCCCTGTAAAAGAGATGTACAAATGAACATGGGGCACCTGGGGTCTCACAAGCCCCAGCACTGGCCTAGCTCATTCCCCTGGGCACCAGCAGGATGTTTGTTTTTGAGACAAGAGTCTCACTCCATTGCCCTGGGTAGTATCATGGCATCATAGCTCATAGCAACCTCAAACTCTTAGGCTGCAGCAATCCCATTGCCTTAGCTTCCTGAGTAGGTGGGACTATAGGCGTGTGCCACTACACCTGACTAGATTTTACTTTTTTTTTTTTTTAGTAGAGATAGGGTCTCACTCTTGCTGAGGCTGGCCTTAAACTCCTGAGCTCAAGTGATCCACTGCCTCAGCTTCCCAGAGTGCTAGAATTACAGGCATGAGCCACTGCTCCCAGCCTACCAGTGGGTTCTTTAGCCCATATAGCTATTGGCCTGAGCCTATGGAGTCCCAATGGCCCAGTCTGCAGAAAAAACTCAGCCTATTCTGGGACCCAGGTCCACTCTCAGGGACACACTGAACCAAAATGCAGAGCTAGAACAGTAAGCAAAGCCCCAGTCTGTGACACCTCAGCTGGCTCCCTCCCCAGCCCTATGGTCAGCCCCCACCCACATGCCTCCTGTCCTCAGACTGTTTCCAGGTGGTGAAAGTCTTCCCAGAGCTACTGTGTCTCATTTAGGATAGAGGCTAGAGGAAAGGATAGGTGTGGGGAGAGAGGACTTGAACTGGCTGCCTAGATGAACATGGCAACCCCTTACAGCCCCCTGGCCCCCTGCTCAACCCTAAGCAGACCTCTGACTGCAGTCCCTGCATGGAGGCAGAGGACATAGGGCTGCCCCTAACTGTGTGGCTGGGAGTAGCTGCTACTCTAGGGTTAGTGGGCACTCATGGTGAGGACACCTACAGAGACTAGGTGATAGTCACTGCCCACCAACCTCAGGCCTGCTCCTGGCCACAGGCTGGGCTGGGCCATGAATTTGAGGTTATAGTGAGCTGTTATTATGCCACTATACTCTAACCTAGAAAACAGAGCAAGACATTTTCAAAAAAAAAAACAAAAAAGTAGACAGCAGGCTTAGGTTTCACTTCTATATTGATTTCCACCTCATCATTCACCCTCCCATATGGCAAGAGCTCTGAGCATGAGCTCTGAGGGACAGTAAGGCACAGTCACCATATCTTGGGAAGGGATGACTCTGCAGGGTGTAAACTCCAGAGCCCCAGCCCTGTACCAGTTAAAGTACTGAAGCAACAGCCACTTTCCTAAGCCTCAGTTAGGCAAACTACATCCACACAGATTATGAAACAGTGTTTAGGTTTCCCCCTTCATGGACAGGAAACCAAAGGTGTGTCCCATTGGCCTGCTCCCCCAGCAGGTCACAGACATCACCACCCTGGCTGGCCTGGAAGGATTTAGCCAGAGGAGATCATGCATTGACTTGGGCTGGAGCAGATGGCCAACTTCCATTTGCACTGTTTCCTAGCACAGCTGGGGAATGTGGGTATAAGCTTTGGTGAGGACCAGTGAGTCCAGACAGACAAGGTATAGGCAGCAGGCCAAGAAGAGAAGATGAGGGCGTAATGTCATTCAAAGATGAGCCCACCTCCTTGAGTGAGCAGGAGGATAAGACAACTGACAGTGGATCCCAGCCTGTCCTGGCAGAGGGTATAAACTACCAGGAAAGAAGATCTTGTTCAGAACCAAGGCTTGGGAGCTTTCGTGAGGTTTCATCCAGCCTGCCTGCTTTCTTGTCTGAATGTCTGGGGTTTTAATTCCAAGGTAGGATGCCCAGAATGTGGTCCTGTTGTCAAGTCCAGCTAGGGTAGATGTAGTCTGCCCGCCTAGTGTCCCTGGGAGGAAGAAGTTTCTTTGCCTGAAAGAAAGGAGGAGGGGAGAGAAAAACAAGTCATTGTGAAGTCATGCTTCAGACATGTCCCCTGTGGGCCAGGGGAAGGAGGGACAAGATGCCTAGTTCATGGGAGTCCATTTCCCCCATTTGCTCCCTGAGATCTACAAGAGAACCCAGAAACTCTTCTTCCTCCACACAAAGGACAAAGAGTGGAATCACGCTTACCATCCACCAAGCACCTATAGACTGCTCACAGAACCCCACAGCACAGCAATGACAACGGACATGTGCTATTAATGACTCATCCTACAAGGATGAGGCTGAGATTAAGGAAGTGGTCACAGTCCTGTGCATGGCAAGGAAGGATTTGGGATTCAAATTCTATCTGGCCAACTCTGCAGATAGACATGCAAAGACATGCAAGGATCTGTATAAGGGTGAAGGCAGAGGGCCACAAAGGAGGCTACACTCAGATGAAGTACACTCAAGTGACAGCTCCCCAGACACAAACTACCAATATAAGAATATTGTCAACAGGAGCACAGATTTACTCAGCTATTATTATATGTCAGGCCCTGGGGACACATTACAAGCAGTTGTCCTTGACAGCCTGTGAGGAAGCTCTGCCACACACCACTCTGCAGAGGAAGAGCCAGGCTCAGACAGGTAGGGCCAGGGCCACAGCCACAAATGGCAGGAGACATGGTCGGCACAGGTCCTCAGCCTATGCCTACTCAGCCTCGACTCTACCCACAGGCAAAGGCCAAGCCTCTCGAGAACACCTTTGCCATGTTCTCACTCAGCCACCTCTTTCTGAGCACACATAATCAACAAGGTGGAGGAAGCAAAGCATTCCCCTTGTTCCTCCCCCTACAGCCACCTTTCAGGGTGGCCCTGGGCAGTGAGATGTTGTGCCCCCTGTACTTTGTCACAGTGTGCTTAGGACCCCCAGGTCTTAGGACCTACTATAGTCCTGTCCTTGCTGCACGAGGATGCTTACCTTTAGGAATGAACTTCAACGAGCTACTAAATATTCAGAATCGAGACTGCCCTGGCTTGGGGCCATCATTGAGGAACTCATGGCCCAACCCGTTGCCACACCTGCCACAGGACACCTGGGAAGACCACAAAGCAGGCACAATGAGCTCTGGCCATGAAGTAGCCAAGCTATGGCCCTCAGTGCTGCCAACAGATGGTGTTTCCCCTGTAAGCCCATTCCCCAAGCTGTCTGCTGAGACTGACCTTCATCCTGGAGCCTCCCCAGGAAAGCTGTCCTGTTTCCCACATTCACCCTAGGATGCCAGACTCTCTCAATGATCTGGGTTGGTAGCCCCTGGCTGAAGCCAGAGACCTGGAATGGAGATACTCTGAGCCCCTGGAGCTGTGGGGCCAGCAGAAGGGGAAAGGTGGGACTAGCTTTCTGGCCCTCCCTGGGCCCCCCAGCCCTAGCCCTGCCACCTACCTTTAGGGCTTCAGGTCGGTTGTGCTCTGGACGCTTAACCACACTATCAGCATGGATGGTCTCAGTGAATGCTGGCCATGGGGATGAGTGTTCATACTTAGAGCAGCTAGAAAACAGCTCGTAGCCACATTTGCTACATACATAGACACCTGGGGCAGAAGGCAAGGCACAGGCAGAGATGTTGGCCCCAGTCTCTTGGGGGTAAGCTCCCAAATCCCTGGACCCAGACAGATGCAGGGCTCGTTTCAAGGGTGGGCTGCACTCCCTCCCCACATGCTCACCACTCATAGGCCATGGGATTGGCTCTGTGAGAGAGACACAGCCCTGACCTCACATTTAGTGGCTGTGCCAGTGACCAGGAGAGTCACTGTTCACACTTATCTCCTCACTCTTCTCAACAGCCCCATGACAAAGAATCTTTTAACCTTTCCATCCACAGATGAGGCTTGATGATGCAAAGATGCCAAAGGAGCCTGGGCAGTGGGATGAGGGCCCCCACTCCCACTACACCCCCTCAGGAATCACAGGGCAAGGCTCTAACATGGCCAACATGACCACCTGGACCCTCCCTTCTCAAGTGGCCCTCCCTGCTCCCCAACAAACCCTGAGCTGAACACCCAGCCACTGTCCTGCTCTCCAGGCAGGAAGAGAATGGCCCAGAGAAAAGGCCTCCAGGCCAAGCAAGATGCCCAGGAAGACAGAGGGCTGGGGAGGAAGGTCCCTAAAATATTATTCTGGTGGGGAGGGGGCAGAGAGGGTTGCAAAAATGACTTGCAGAACTGTTTGAAGGACTAAAACTAATAACCTCCAGGGGCAGTGAATTACCTGGGGACCTTCCCTGAGTCTGTGAATTACACAACCTTTACCAGGAACTAGAGAAGAAAGCAAAGAGGAACTAAGAGCTGCCATGGGAGTGGAGTTTCTGGCTTGATAGGGCAGCTTGAGGACACCTGGGTCCTATGCCCAGAGAATGGGGGGGGGGGCCTTTGCTGGGTGGTCTTGTGTTATAACCCTTCCCCTAAGAGGGCTGACACCAACAGATTCCACCCCAGGGAGGCCAATGCCTTAGTCTGCCCTGTGGATGTGTTTTTACCAAATTAGTCCACTACCAGGCCAGGCCAACCCCAAAGAGAACTCATCAAGGTGTCTGCCAGCCTGGGACCAGTGCTGAGAGCTGGACATTCCCCAAACTACCCTATCTGGTGAAAACTTCACTCTGGCTAGTGAAATCAGTCTGGTCAAACTTCACTGGCCAAAGTTCACTGGCCCTAAACAGGTTAATGAAGCATATGGACGACACATTCCAATCCAGTACGGGACATTCTGTACTTGCCAGTGAGCCATGCCGTGTATCCCAAAAAAACAGGGGAACGGAAATGCCCTGCGGAAAGGCAGCCCACTCACAGGAGACCTCCCTGGGACAAGACCTTTCATTGTGCCCTCTGAAGGCCCGACCCTTACCTAATTTCTCCACCAGCGTCACCACCTCCCTGTATCTTGGCCCGCCCCGTTCCCCCCAGAAACGACCACGTTGACATTCGAGGCCTGTCCTCCTTAGGGTCGGCGACACCCTCCCCGCCAAGGCCCTCTCTCCATGAATACCCCTACTCTCCACGTCTCCCAGATTCTGCCCCCCTTCGCGATCCTCTTGACCCCACGTCCGCTTCTCTCTGGTGGCCACCCTCCCCATTTCCAGTTTCGGGGCTCCATCTCCACCCGGATGGCACCGACAACCCTCTAAGGCACGCCCCTGCCCCAGAAGGAGATCACAGCACGAACCTGGCTCAAAGTGGTTCTGGAAAACCTCGCCCCCGAAGAAGCTGCAGAACGCCATGGAGCCACTGGGATCACTGAGCGCTCGTCGCCCCTGGGCAACCCCTAATGAGCCGACCGTCTGATCACCTGGTGTACGCTTCCCTAGTCTCCGGAGGGTCAACCTCTTCCCCGGCGCCTTTTGTGGCTTCCGCCTCCGGAAGGCCCCACCCCCTCCAAAGAGGCCCTCTCCCCGGTGCTTCCCGAGGCCCCGCCCCTGGACCGTCCTAGAGCGCCTTCCCTGCTGGCCCCGCCCACGGTAACTCCCAAGGACCATTCCTGGGCCGCTCCCCAAGGCTCCTTCCTTCCCGAGGGCCAGCCCAATACGTCTTCCTTTAGGCTCCGCCCACGATAACTCCTAGGGACGCTCCCCGAGGCACCGCCCCCTCCGAAGAAGAGCACTCCCGGATCCCCACCCCAGCCTGGTTGTACCATTCACCCTGGAAGTATGGCCCTCCCAGAAAGCCTGGGCTGCAAGAGGGGAGGTGAGGTGCAACTGGGACCCGCCCAGGTTGTGGGTGTTACGTCACCCGCAGAACTGTGTCCCACTGGTCCTGTCCGCGGCGCTAAGCCTCGCCGGCAGATGTCAACAGGCCTTTCCGCACCCCCCAACCCTCTGAGACAGCGCGGGGACAGTTGCCTCTGGCCTTTATTAGACAGAAGGGGCAGGCAGGGGCTCATCGGGCTTCTGGGATTCCCCAGCCCATGCAGCCTACAAGTCTTCTGTGGTCTCTGGCTTTTCTCTCTCAAGATGCTTCTTCTGGGGGCCCTGGTTGAAAGGGCACGAGAGGAGCGTTAATGGTAAGAGTGTCCAGGAATACCACTACTAGCCAGCCTCAGGGTCCCCCAGGACTCCCCTTCGCCCCCTCCCCCACCTTCTCTAGCAAGAATTAGTAGCAGGGCTAGATCCCTAAAAGCCCTTCTCCTGCCAGTGAGCACAGGGGGCGTCCTTGCCCACTTCATCTGCTCCAGTCATCCTCACTGCTTTGAGACAGGCTGGATGTGGAGTCTACACCCCACCCCCACCCCAACCCCCAAAACAAGGAGGAGCTCACCATGAAGGCCCTCTTCTCTTGGGCTGTCTGGAAACGGCCATGGCCGAACTTGGAGGTGGTGTCAATGAACTTGAGCTCAATTTTCTCCAGGGCCTGGCGGCTGTGGTGCACCAGGAGGGACTAGGAATTCATGGAAGAAGCCAGCATCAAGGCTAAGATCCTCCCAACCACTTCCAGTCACTTCCAGTCCATACCAAGGTGTTGCTCACAAAGTTCCTGCCAGACCCTACCCTTTCTGTTCCTACCACCCAGTCCCCCCAAGCAGGCTGAAAGGCAGGATAAGTTGGCAGCAGTAACCCATGTAGCCCCTGCTCCCCAACCCATGGCCCCACACTGACCTTTCTTAGTGTAATGACCCTCTTCTTGGTACCTGCGATACAACCCTTTAGCATGATGAAGTCATTGTTGACTTCCCCGTAGTGGGGGAAGCCACCCTGCAGAGGAGACATGTGAGAGGCCAGGCCGAGGAAAGGGCTGCCCAGTTAGGGGGTGGCTGGAAGCCTTAAGAAATTTCCCTACAAGAAAATTCCCTACAAGGAGCCCTGTGCCCAGCCCCCAGGCGTGGAGGTGACACCCTCATGCTCTATCACTAACGAGGGCAGCATCTGAGTCACATACGAAGTCCTTTTTGCCCATTATCTAACAACCTGCATTTTTGTTGGGGGCAAGCTGAGGCTCAGGGCGGTGGAGTCACTTGATCTATGCTCTGTAGCTGCTACATGCTGGAGCTGGGGCTTGAGCTCGGGTGGCCTGACTCCCAGGCCAGAGCAGGAGCTGCTGCCCTCCACACCCTGTTACAATAGCCAGTTGTCAGCTGCCTTCAGAGGAGAATTGGTGGATTCGGGAAACAGCAGGGATTTGGTCCACCTATGTGGCTGAATGCTTCAGACAGTCTCATGCTAAGTCTGCTTGTAGGAACAACACGAAGCTATTGGGCCTGCCCTCCACACACATCAGTACCCCTTGCCCAGCCTGGCTCCCCACCCTCACCAGTGGTGTGATGGACTTGTCAGTCACATCATAGCTGGTAGATGCATTGTTCTTGACCATCTTCCCGTCCTCCATATGTATCCCCCGGCCGATTTGGTAGATCTGCCAAGAAAGGAGGGAGCAGGAAGGGCCTCTGGAGCCAGCAGCACATCCACCCATCAACTCACATGCTTGCTCCTGGGGGCATTTCGTGACCCAGGCAGCATCTGGGTTGTGCACCCCACTGGCTGGGGTCTGATCACATTGCAACACCAACCCCACCACCCCAGGCTTCAGACACACCTTCTTGTTGAGCTCAGTGCGGTGGTGGTAGCCCTTCTGCCCAGCCCGGGCAATAGAGCAGCCCACACGGGCAGGGTGCCAGGCACCAATGCAAGCCACTTTGCGTAGTCCTTTGTGAGTTTTCCGAGGCAGCTTCTTGGTATGCCAGCGGCTTGTGACCCCTGCAAGTGGAAGGGTCTGATGGCTGAGTGACCAGCCGGGTTCCTACTGCCTCCAGGCAGCCTTCTCTGGATCTGCCCTCCACATTGACCCCTACCTTTGACACCCCGGCCCTTGGTGACAGCAATGACATCAATGACCTCACTCTGGCTGAATACACTGTGAACTGACACCTGCTTCTCCAGCCGGGCCTGGGCCCAGGCCACCTTCTCAGCCACTGTACCACCATTAAGCTGGATCTCCATGATGTGGGCCTTCTTCTGCCGGAAGGGCAGAAGCTTCATCTGTAGGACATGGCATGGTGGTCAGTTTCCAAAGGGTCACATCCACCCACCTACAGCTGTGGGGAGGCCAGCAGGTGACTCCTGAAATCTTCTATGCATGCTTTCATTCATACATGTTCCCATGATCTGGCCATGTGCTTCGCTAGGCACTGTGGATGTAGCAGGGAATGAGGCAAATAAGGCCCAACACCTGTGGGAGCCACTGTCTAGTTGGAAGATAGAGGGAATCCAAGTAAACTCTCAGAGTGGGCTAAGTTCTCTGATGGGATGTGGGGCAGGAGCATTTCAGATAGAGGGATCAGGTTAGGGAGGGCCTCTCTTGAGGAGGTGACACCAATAACAAGGAGGCACCACTGAAGATCTGAGCACCTTTTGGGCAGAGGAAACAGCATGTGCAAAGGCACAGTGGCAGGGAAGATCTTGGCAAGTTGGTAGGATAGAAAGAAGACTAATGTGGCGAGATGGTGGTAAGCAAAGACAGCAAGCAAGCCAAGCAGTACCTATAGGAAATAGCTTAGGCTTTCTTCTAAGTGCAGGGTGTGACATGAACTGATTTTTATTTTAAACATCTCTGGTTGATGCTATGTGGGACACAGGCTATAGGGATGTACAGGCAAAAATAGACCAGTGTTTAACAAGTATTTATGGAGCACCTACTGCATACAAGACTTTTGGTGGGTGCTCAGGACCCAGTGAATAAGATAGCTGTGGTCCCTCCCCCCATGGCCTCTGCCCTGTGGAGCCCAAGTCTGATGAAGTTCTGTGTGTCAGTGCATTCCAAGGGGCCATAGGGATAGCCTGATCCCTGATCCTCTATCTGTTGAAGGAAATAGACATTACCCAATGGCTTGCTTGATCATGAACTGACAATGTGAGCGTGACTTGGAGGGGGTGTGTTCAGGGGATGTGGGAGACTCTGGGATGGGGGTTGCCACTCCAGGAACCTAAGGAAGCCCTCCCTGAGAATAAGATGCCAAGGAGTGTTCCAGAATAAGCTGAAGAGTGTTAGTTACCCATTGGTCCACATCAAGCCAACCCAGGTATGAACACTGATTTATATACTCATCATTTGTGCCAAAACCCAAAGGGAGGCTCGGCACTCAAGCAGCTAGGGCACCAGCCACATACACCAGAGCTGGTGGGTTCGAATCTAGCCCAGTCCTGCCAAACAACAATGACAACTACAACAACAGCAACAACAACAAATAGCTGGGCATTGTGGTGGGCACCTGTAGTCCTAGCTACTTGGGAGGCTGAGGCAAGAGAATGGCTTAAGCCCAAGAGTCTGAGATTGCTGTGCACTGTAACGCCATGGCACTCTACCGAGGGTAACAGCTCTATCTCAAAAAAAAAAAAAAAAAAAAAAATCCCCAAGGGAGGTTGTAGCCCTCCACACTGGACATTTGGCAGGAGACCCAGACCCTCCAGGGCATTTTAGGGCCTTAGTTGACCACTGGACATAGCTGATTCCCCATGGCCTCTTGGAATGCACTGACACACAGAACTCCTGGGGCTACACATGCTAGCACAGCTGGCCGGCCAGCCAACACTTCAGGCCTGGGCCCAAGGCTCGTGATATTTTTAGGCTGACATTTGCCAGGGCTCCTGGAAGCTGGGGGAAGGGGGATGGTGGGCCAGCTGGTAGACCAGCTGACAGCTGGGGTGGGAGGCTGACCTGGGTGTGGACAATGACCCGAATGACTTTGCAATACTTCTTCATGGCGGCAAAGTCTTTCTGGAGCTGCTTCTTGCCGCTGGTGTCCCGCCATCTTTTGCAGGATTTGGTAAAGGCTTTCTTCTTGCTCTTGTGCCTGACCAATGTGCAGGAAGGTGCTCAGAGGCCCCAGTGGAGGCAGCTCCCCAGGCCTGTCTGACCCCTTCCCCACCTGCAGTCCACCAAGCAGGGAGCCCACTCTTCAGACTCCCCTGAGGCCCATGCACTGTTCTGCTCACCAGTTCTGAACACAAACCATCCCTTCCTCTCTGGACCTCTGTTTCCACCTCTGTGAAGTGGGCACCTCCCTGCCTCCCAGGGCCCATGAGTGAATGGCAAATGTGCAGAAGCTGCCAGAAGAGGGTTGCTAGTCAGCACTGCAGTCCAGGCTTCTGGAGGCTACCCCAGCTGCCACATTGCTCAGACCTCTGATCCCACTTCTAAAGTGTGGATACCACAGTCAGGCACTAGGCCTTTGGCTCAGGACACACAGTTTCTTTTCTTTTCTTTTGTTTTTTTTAGCAATAGAGTCTCACTTTGTCACCCTTGGTACAGTGCTATGGCATCATAGCTCACAGCAACCTCCAGCTTTTGGGCTTAGGTGATTCTCTCGCCTCAGCCTTCCAAGTAGCTGGGACTACAGGCGCCCACCATAATGCCTGGCTTTTTTGTTGTCGCAGTTTGGCCAGGGCAGGGTTCTAACCCACCATCCTCAGTATATGGAGCTGGTGCCCAACCCACTGAGCCACAGGCGCTGCGCAGGACACACAGTTTCTAACCCTCACCAGAGCTCTGGAAGGTGGAAACTATTATCCATGTTCTGCAAGTGAAGAAAGGAAGATTTGGGCTTGGCGCCTGTGGTTCAAGTGGCTAAGGCGCCAGCTACACACACCTAAGGTGGCGGGTTCGAATCCAGCCTGGGCCCACCAAGCAACAATGACAGCTGCAACCAAAAAATAGCCAGGCATTGTGACGGGCACCTGTGGTCCCAGCTACTT